TTTGGAGGTAAAAGGTTGCTGACTTTATTTTAATACAATCTTATAAGATTCTTACCTTGATTCTAATGTCGACTAGTAGTGTAAATGGTGTACTTGTTGCTACCTGTGATCAATTGAATGAGGGCGCTGTTGAATTAACAGGGTTTTTATATTGACTGAATTGTGCTGAGTGTACATAGTCTGAAGGTTCCACAAATATCAGATGGGATGTTGATTCAGGATTTGTACAGCTGAAAGCTCTACAATGAGATAACATATAAATTGAACTACAATTGAACTTGCCTAAGTCGAATCCAAAATGGCATAGAAAAATTGTTCGACCTAGATAAAATTTGACTTACAGATCGTTAATTAATGAAAAAAACAACAATTCATAAATCCTGGGATGGTGTCCGGCGGGGGATAGTTTTAACCTGTTTATGACATTAAACTGCATCCGGTCGAGCCGCCAGCGTCTAACTGACAACCTCTTTTTGTGGTCTTTGCTGACACTGAAGTGGGAGGGTGTCATGATCACCCAGCAGCAATAAAAAAACAGCTGAATGGAGGGCGGATGAACTCTCAAGTCAAAGGCCAACCATACCTAGTCTAAGAGTAAGCATAGCTCAAACAAATGTCAAGTGCATACAGGCTTTGTGCATTATGTGCTCTATAAATCACTATTTATTATTATTATTATTATTATTATTATTATTATTATTATTATTATTATTATTATTATCATTATTATTATTATTGTTATTATTATTATTATTATTGTTATTGTTATTATTATTATTATTATCATTATTATTATTATTATTGTTATTATTATTATTGTTATTATTATTATTATTAATTTGTAATGTAAAATATGATCGACTTAAAAAATTATTTGAGTTAGGCAAAGGTCAACAAATAGGCAAGTTTATCTGATTGAGAATGTTGTGGTTAGTGGTAAAATTAGTGTAGAATACAGCAGCATTTGTGAGTTGTAAAACTAGATCTAGATTTATTTGTGGAAGCTCATCTTAGTCAAAAAAGAAAAGAAAATTATATTCAAATTCTGAGAGGGTCATATCGGGCTATCTTGAGGTGCTATAATCATAAGTTTTCTTACAATGAGCCCCAACCACAGTGATAGTGATTTGATTGCCGCTGTAAATAGTGAACTTGTAAAAATTATGGAATGGACCCATGTCAATCGCCTCTCATTGAACACGAGCAAATCAAATTTTATGTTTTTCAACAATATTATCAAGGACCTCCCTGCCTCGATTTTGCTGGATGGGAATGAAATTTCTAGGGTTCCAGCTACCAAATTCTTAGGAATTTATAAGATGAGCGATTGGTATGGGACGTACATATCCAGAACCTTGCAAAGTTGATGCTATGCACAAACTTAAAGAATTTGACCCATCATGTGTGATGAAATTTGCTTTATAACTCTCTCGTTCTACCATATTTAAATTATGGTATTCTTGCATGAGGGAAAGCCAGTTTCATTCATATTAACATAGTCCACATGATACAAAAGAGGGCAGTTAGATGTACTTGCAACTCAAAATGGTTGGCTCACATTCCACCACTTTCCTATCCCAGAACATTCCGCAGATTAAGGACCTTTTTGATTTAAATGTTGGGATTTTTATGTTTATTCTAAATTGTTGGGGAATTCCATCTGCTCTGGCAATGCACTTTACTTATAATTCAAATATTATTCTTATTCCACCTGCCAGCCTTCTTCATTTCATATTCCTTTTTCCAGACTAACTAAAAGACAAAACACTGTCTTTCACTATGGACCTAGAGTAAGTACTGGCTTTCCTTGCCTAAATCAATTAAATCTGCTACTCACCTCAACCAATTTAAAACTAAGCTAAAAAATCAAATGATTGAAAAATATTGCTGTGTGTTAATAATAATAATAATAATAATAATAATAATAATAATAATAATAATAATAATAAGTATGTTAGATTATAGATGTTTCATGACAGCAGGGCCCAAAGTGCTCCTCATTCCATTCATCTGTTTAATTTATACCGTTCTTCCCAGCTTCTGAAGGTTTTTTCATTTTTTTGTTATTCAAGATTAGTTTTAAAGATTAATTTAATATTTAAGATTAGTCTGGGAGCCTATTTACAGGCCTTGGCCTCCTTGGTTCCCGGCACTTGTACAGTAGTAGTTAAGAAACGAGTGAATATTAAAATGAAGATAAAAATTCTGAGAGGGCCATTTCCGGCTATCTTGATGTGCTATAATCATAAATTTTCTTACCATAAGCACCAACCATGGTGGGGCTGATATGGCTAGACCTTCCATCTGTAAAAGTCCTCTTTTCCCCACCCTTCAACCTCCCACCCCCACCCTTTGAGCTGCCACTGCAGATCTCCCAGAAATGACTTCTCCCAAATTGGGAGCCCTGGTATAGGTACTGTAGTACCTCTGATATAAGCCTACACCACTCCTGAGCCTACATAAATGTTTTCGTGTGATACACAGACATCTAGTTTTTACAGAATTTATGGCCCTGAACTACTGTATAAATACAGTCTGTCAGCATAAATCATTTTTTATTATTATTAATGAAAGAATGCATAGTCTGAAAATAAATGATTTAAAGTACCTGGAAGGAACTCTCTTGACACGTCACCAAATGACATTCATGCACTGTAAAATGTAGAGTACAGCACAGTTTAAAATAGCGGAAATTCCCTATTTTATTGTTAGGAATTCAATAGCCAAGGTTATGAATACACATCACTGTCAAACACAAATGCTGATATAAAAAGAACCAATTGTTGTGACCAACAAAAAAAAAATCCTAATATTTAACATTTCTGATTTTGGATTGTATTTTATGAAATTATAAACCATGTGTATGTGACATTGAGAGCTAAATGAAGGTAAATTTTAAAAAATCAAGTTTGTAAAACTTTTTTTGACTGACAATAAATTTCGTGTTTCATTGGTTTTATTATAAAGTGTAACTACATTGTGACAGTTATCACTTCAAAAACAATTTGTACATTTGAATATTGTATTTTTCTGAATGCACACACATGACCTTTGAATGGCTATACTTATTTGTATTTATTTCTTTTAAATGTTAAATTACTTTGTTTGTATTAAGTCTGTATTTGTTTCTTAATAATATTAAACATTTTATATAGTGCTTTAATCAATACTTATTTTTTTCATTTAATTGGCATTATTACTAATTTTGTCAAAAATTAATTATGTCATCAGAAATTTTGTCAATGTAATTAACATTTTTTTATATGTATTTTTTTTTTATTGTTTGTGCAGGTTTTTGTGATATTTAGAATTCCTCTCTTTTTTAACTTGTGTTAATTTATTAATGAATTAGATCGGAAGTTATACATGTAATAGATTTTGTTAAATTTAATGGTTTCTACTGCAATGCATAGGAATTAATAATAGAAATGACAATAATAATGATCAGTCAATCTATCTATCACCAAGGATATGTGCTAATGTGGCCACAGTGAGATTTATTTTATTTAATAAAATATTTGTATCTTACTTTTGTTAAACCAACTATGATTACAGAAACAAAACCACAGTTAATTTTACAACATAATGTTTGTATCAAGCATAAATGCCACCGTTTCTTTTCCAATCAGGCAACTGTGATGATACAATCTGCTTTTAAAGGACACAAAAATTGTAAACATCATCTACCAAGCCCGGCGAATAGTGTAAACAAAGCTTATATAAACAAGAACAATATCAAATTTTCATATAAAAATCAATGTTCACATGTGTCAAAGCATACAAAAACCAATGACTTACATGATGTCTCATCCGAAAGACGGTGCACTATCAAATTCAAATTCAATTTTATTGTAATCATTCATTCATATTGGATGATTGGATGAAACAGTTTACAGTACTAAAATTGATAAAGATACATCCAAAATACCCCCTAGTGGGAGTCCAGGGGGAAAAGACCCTGATGGGAGTTGAGGGGGTGAAGTTCTCTGGGACGAAGCACATTCTAAATGTTTTTAGGACTGATTTGAAGGATTTTGGAGAAACATTAAGATAAAGTGAAAATTGCAATAGATGCATCATATTTTAGTAGGCTTAACCATAATTATGATAATAACTCAATAGTGGCAGATCCAGGAATTCAAATTAGAGGGGGTCCAGGGAGGGACTTTCACAGATACAGATATAGTGTCCACCCACCTCAACCCTATCATGGAAAATTTATGATTATTACAAAATTTCCTGTCTTTTTTTTAAACAAAATGTGAATATCTAAATCCCTGTGAACATGACATTTTGAATAAGAAATAATAAATTCATCTCCAAACAAATATAAAAATGGTTTTTGGAAATGAAAGCATTCTAATGCAGCACCTTGACAAATAGTTCACCATATTCATAGACATAAAATAAAGTTAATGTATCTTTCGTTATCAAAGGAGGGATTTCTATAAATAAATGTTGTGGTATATTGATTAAAAAAATTGATTGATTGATTGATTGATTATTTATACTATTTGTTTTCCTATTTTTCTATTTCCTTACAATACAAATATAACAAATTAAAAATAATTAAATGTCACTTTTAACAATAACAATAATAAATTACCATATAAAGTAAAATAATTCTATATGAACTCAGATTAGGAACTTATAGGTCAAACAGGCATAGATAAAGAGAAAAAAAAAACAACTACGTTAATAAAATATAGAAAAACAAAAACAAAACTACTATACATTATAATAATAAAATATAATAATAATATAAATATACAATATAATGTTTATAGTATTTTTTTTTTATTGATGGCTACCCAAGTGGCAAGATATTCATTTTGCAACTGGTACACTTGTACTGTATTTGATTTGTCACACTGAAGGCCAATTCCACACCATGAGTGCTCTTGTGCATGGAAATACTTGGGAATAATGTCTGCCTGTGTTTGTCAAGTCATTGCTCTTAGGCAATTATATTCATAAACTTCATTCTCATCAAATTTCAGGTGACTTTAGCGTGGAATGAATGCTCTGTAGTCTCAATTTGAGCCATAAGATGTGGAGTGTGTTTCAGTCATGCGAAAAACGCTGGTGTTTACTTCCCTTCGGCATCCTGACACATTAACTGCTCTACTTTTGACAGACTTTAACCAGGACAGGGCTTAATTGCCCTCCAACAGGTAATGACAGGTAAGCATCAATATGCATCATATGCATTTGTTTGTAAGCAATCCTAGATTAATTACAGCTGTTACATTTGACCCATTAGATTGGATTGGATTTATTCAGTGTAAACACCAAGGATAGCCCACGAGAGTCTAGAAGAAGACTTATTTCCAGTGGTGTTCTTCTGGTGGTGATTGGGCAGTACACCAGAAGACGATCCCCTACTCTTTTCCGAAGAGTGTACTGCGTTCTTTAACGTGCACATGGGCCATAAATGCACACGGGACCAACGGCTTAAACATCTATTGTGCGCTATTGTAACTTGTATTCCAGCCCGCCGGCTGAAACACAAGGAGAGGCAGCGATGGGAATTGAACCGGGGACCTAGAGATCTCCATGGTTCGGCGCACACACACAGTGGCTACACCTACCACCAAGATTAGCCGACTGAGCTCATCATCTCCCATGCTAAGCATTTGTGTCCCAATGTCTCATTCAACCCACAAAATATTCTGTTTTGCAGATTTCATAAATATGTTTGATTATTTACTTAGTTTAAAGCATTTATATTTAATACATTCTCACTCATTTTTTTTTTAGCAAACAAATCTCTGCATGTATGTATTCTAATGAATCTAGCAGGCATCGCAACTATATGTGTATATAGATACTGTAGTTCTTCTGATGTAAGCCCACCTCTAAAGCCCATCCCATACTTTATTGTTACCCTGGGCAAAACCAGGGTATGATTTGAATGAGTAGCTCACAGCTGACTTTTACAAATTACTTTCAGAAAAAAAAAATTGTCTTTGAATGAGGCATGTATGAAGAAATGCCATCTGGTTTAACCATCACTCACATCTATAGGACAAACTGTCATTTTTTTTATTTTAAACTAGTATTGCCTAGAGGGATGGGCTTATGTACAATGGTATTATGACAATTTAATAAATCCTAAATATCTCATTGGAATGTAATTATATTACTTACCTCCTTTAGACAGTTGTTTGACTGGTAGAACTGGAAGTGTACTTGTTGCTACCTTAACAGTTGAATATTTTGTGTTAACCTTCTTAACAGAATGAATTATGAATAAATTTTGTGATAAACATTTTCAAGAGACAGTACATAATAAAATGATGATTGTTACGATCATCATTTTAACATTTTCATAAAAGAGTGCAGACCCCCAGTATTGTGCTTATTTTAATTTAATAAAATGTGTATATCAGTATGTTGTTATAAATATCTGAAATTGGGATTAGGTGACCATCTTTACCACCAACACCCATAGCTCTCCACTATTCTATTGAATCACTTTTTATATAATTCAATTATTGGTACATGATTCACTTTTGGATATGGTTTGTATTTCACCTGGAGGCTGAGCATCTGATATCGAACCACTGTCAAATGACTGGAGCTTACAAGCTATAAATCTTAACCTCATTCACACAGACATATTCACCCTACAGTACTTCTTGGGACAGACTTCAAACCAGGTGATGGCTTTAATGGTGTGAAAAGGAAATATACCCGACCTATCACACCCAGCCTCCAACCAACTGGTAAGTAAAGGCAGACGCTTCCAATTTTAAAATTCTTTATTTCTCAACAATTGAATATGCATATTAAAAGACAATTTTCAAACAGATAAAAGTTATCATCCTAGAAATGATAGAACTTACATTGGTGAACCTATTTTAAATATGAATTTTAATCATTGAAATATATTTATATACCGTAAGAGTTATTATTGATTGTTGACCCTAGAATATAATAAATAAGAATTATAAACTTATTAAAGTTTATTAAACAATTATTGTAGTTCAAACTAGGATAAAAAACATACCAATAATCCAAGTACTTGAACAACGAAAGCTAAAAACAAATTAAAATAATTTTACAAAAATAAGTATTCCTAAAACTGCAGATAACTAAAAATCCATAAAATTATAGAATCCTTCTCTGTGTCCATTTTCACTTGCGGTAGAATATCAAACATCCTTCATGTTCAATGTCTTTTATCAATGGAGTAAAAGAGGTTTATTTTGTGGATATACAAATACAACAATTTAATAATATGTAGTGATTTATGCATTTATTTTCTAATAATTACTCAATGTTTTTATTATAATGTAGTTTTCTATTGTAATTATCAGTAAATAAATATAAATTAATAGATTTATATAAACTACTGTACATGATAAAACCAATCATTTTCATTAATGTATAAAAATAGATGTGAAATGTATATGATACTAGGATTCATGTATTTAATTTTCATTTTAATAATTGAATATTTTAACATTGTTTGATCCATGGTCTGCTACAGCTACTCTTCTTGGTCTCTTGGAGATTATACTGATTCCACTTGGAAGACATAATCCATCATCTTCATGATCTATTCGTTTTATGAAGACACCATTTTTATCAAATAATTGTAATTTTTCATGACTTGAAACCATTATGTTTTCATCCATATCCATCAATACAGCAGTAGGACTAACAATATAATCATATTTCCCACCACAGCATACAAAGAATTTTATTAACTCATCACTAGTATTAAAAATTTGTATTATTTTATTTCCGAAATCAGAAATAATCACATGACCTTCCTTAGTTAAAGTGACATCTTGTGGTTCATTCATTTGACCTCCTTCACTACCCTCTGAACCTATCTTACCCAGTAGTGTACCATCATCAACATTGAATTTAAACACACAGTCAGCATGACAATCTGCTACATACAGGACTCTAGTTTCTTTGTTTACTGCCAAGCCTTGTGGACACTTCAATATCTCTTTACCAAATGAATGGATTTCTTGAAATTTATCATCACACATTACTACACATTTTCCTAATTGATCTGTAAATATCACATGCCCATCACCCAGTTGATGCATTCCATTGACCTGGAAATCCTGTGGTGCCTGTATTTTAGCAACAAATGAACCTGATTGGTTGAATTTCAATATATCTGTACTTAAGGTTGATACTAAAATATATCCATCTGTATCTGATATTACATCTGCCACTTCGATATGTTCTCCATAATCAGATATGTTATCAATGATATGAACAAGTCCAAGTTTTTCCACCTTGATATTCACTGGAGACCCTTTGATGTCCACACCTCCAGCAGTTATCTTCATTTGCCAATCACCTTCCACATTGCATCTACCTGTTATTTTGTAATGTCCGTTTTCATCATATTCTACTTTAGTTGGTGATTCTTCACTTGAGAAGTTTATTAAAGTAGCAGCTAATTGGCATGCATCACACTCTGTCAGACTTGATACTTTCACTACAAATGGTTGACCTTTTGTTACAGTAATGTGTTCATCATCTTCAGCAACCTTGTATGTCAGGCTATCAACAATTGTGATTCTACCAATGCCCTCTGTATTCATCAACTCATCCAGTTGCACAGATGGAATAAAGTTAGGTGTGATAGTCCTCATTTGCAATGACTGATCAAAGTCAGTTCCTAGGACTTTATCTTTAACAGCTTTTACAGTTGTTTTATGAGATAAAAGAGTTTTAATTTCTTCTGGTTTGTTCATCATTGTATTGGTTGAGACTATCAGATTCTTTATTTGAGTAATCTTTGAATCGATATCATTAACTTCACTGTCAAAATTTTCTTTCTTTTTTTTGTATATAATTTCAAGGTCTATTAGTAATTCCTTGCTTTTCTCTTGAACTTTCCTGAGAAGTTTCTTTTCCTGAATTTTTATAGCTGTTCTGCATAACATCAATTGGGAATCGAATTCTGATCTATCTTTAGTTAAAGTTTCTTGTTTTTCTGTTAATGTCTTTTCAATTTTATGAGCTAACTCAACAATATCATTGGCATCTTTGTTAAATTTCTCTACAGCAGTTGACATTGGAATCACTTTATGTTGTTTTTGATAACAGCGAAGGATGTGTTCACATTTCTTACATGCTGACTTGTTGCAATTGGAACAGTAAAATTCCAGTGGGGTGTTGCAGTGAACTTGGCAATTGATTTGTTTGCCATCTTGTTCTTTCTTGTCTAGTGTGTAAAGTGGATGATCCTTAGTTAAAGGTACTGCCTTGTGTTGTTTGACACATTGAGCTCCACATAGATACAGTTGACATGTTGAGCAATGGTATGCTGGTTGGTTGTCACAAAAAGAGCAGTTAGTTGGTTTCTGATCCTCAGTTTTCATGACATACTCTAGTAATTGACTTATCATTGTATTGGAAGCCAGCTTTTTTAGGTCTTCTTTTGTTAAATCATGTTCTTGTCCACATATTGGGCATTTCATCTTCCCATGAGTTTCCACCCATTTCTGGATACACTGTAGACAATAGGTGTGCATGCATTTCAGTGTCTTTGGTTGGTTAAACCTGCTGAGGCAGATGGCACACTCAAGATCTTTTTTATTCATAAACTGTAACGCTTTCGATACAGACACCTGTGAAGACAACATATATACTTGGTTATGGTAAGGAGTTGGTAATGGTTTGGGTAAATATTTATATAGCACTGGCATGCTGTCATGAACTGAATGAAACAAAAAGAATAATAAAAGAAACTTACAAAGAACAAAATAGTTGGGTGCAGAGTTTAATATTGAAATGAAGGGAGTAACAGAAGGCTGCATAAAGGACCATGTGATAAAAACAGAGAGGTAATCATAACCCTTAAGGTAGATTCACACCGTATCCGAATTTGGTTGGAATGGCAAAAACGAAAATTGAATCAGTGGTAAAAAATAGAGGCATGTACTAGACGCGCATCAAAAACATTCTACAAATTTTGGTTCGGATCAGGTGTGAATGCAGCTTTACATAGTATGGAAAGTGTCTTAAAAATTTCTCCCTCTTCGTTTGAGTTATGTCTCTGTTGGAAACAGGGGCGGATTTAGAGGGGGCCGGGGCGGCCCCCACTATTTTACAATCAAAAAGAAAAAGAAAGAAAGAGAAAAAAAAGCCTCAGAGGTTATTTTCGGGCGTCTAGAACACAGAAATTTTGCAGGGGAATTCCCCGGACCTCTTAGGGTATTGTTATCTCGATCGACCCCACTTTTGACACCCTTTTTCTGTAGGCCTATTTTTTTTACATTAAGTATATAAGTCCAATTAAAGTAATTTGACAAATGGGCCGTGGAAAGGTGTAGTAATATTGTTGGGCCTTTGGAGGTAAAAGGTTGCTGACTTTAATATAATACAATCTTATAAGACTCTTACCTTGATTCTAATGTCGACTAGTAGTGTAAATGGTGTACTTGTTGCTACCTGTGATCAATTGAATGAGGGCGCTGTTGAAT